ATAATTTAAAAGGGAAAAGGAAAACAAAAGAAAAAAAAAGGTAAAATAAACCCAAAAGAACATGGTGAGAAGAAAGATTCTTCGCTTTCGACTTTTCTTTTCAATAATAAAAGGGAGGTTGAAGACAAAATCCAAAAGATAATAAGAAACCTAAAACTAAAAGAAAGGAAAGGGGAAAAGTGCGTTTCCACGAGCATATTTTTAGACATTTGATTCCTATAAATATTTTTTATGTTATGTGTAAATAAGGAATATAAATTTAAAAAATAATTAAAAAAAATTAAAATATTATTTTGGTCCATATATTTTCAGTATTGTTTAGTTCATTTTGATTCTCGTGGAGATGGAGATTGAACTCACAACCTCTTGATTGGAGATATATATCAATTTATGGCTCAGGTATTCTCGTTTTGCATGAATAAATAAACCATTGGTTTTAGTAAAAAAAAATAGAATGTTTATTTTTACAAACTAGCACATTCCATGCAATTCATCCCCGGCCGTAGCTAATGGGGCGACTCCTGCGAGACCGGACCTTGGGCCTATTAATGGGCTATTACGGAGAAATAATAAAAGCCCATTTATCATATCGTCAGCCCAAAGTAGGTCCATATCTCATAGTGCCAAAAAATACTGGGCTGGGCAGGGCTGGGCTTATTCCACGCGGACAAAAGCAAACCAGTTGACAACAATCCGAACCCGGCCCAATTCATGCTCTGGATTAACATCCCGCGATTGTTTCACAAACACACACGTTTTAAACTTCAAAACTACAACACAATAATCCGGGGAATATCAATAATTTTAATTAACATCTATACTATATCTAAATGGGGCTATCCACGAGAACCTTTATCTCTCCATTTTGTCCTCAACTTTTAAATACATATCTATTTTGTCATTTAAATTTCTACGAGAGATACGACTATTCGAGTTAAAGTGTCTGTTGAGATAACAAATCCAAAAAAATTGTGACCATTCGATGAAACAAGGAGTTTAATCCAAAAGAGGTGTAACTGTTCGAGTGAAAAAGTGTGTTGAGGGAAGTTAATCCGATGAAAAGTACAACTATTTGATGAAGTGATGCATCTATCCACGTATAGGTGTCATAACAAATAATCTATAAAATGAAAGATTATGTCTTTTTCTTGTATGACCTAAAACTCATTTCTAAAATATTAATGAAGATTTTTTTTATCTTCATGAGTGAAAACTGAACCATGTCAAAAGAATATTTGAGAATCCAGAAACATATTTGTATTTTTATGTGGATTACTTTTAAGTTATATGTTCATGATACATTTAGTTAATGTTCTTTTCAAGTTTGATTTAATATTTAGTTAATGTTATTTTCACGTTTTAAAATATATTCATGTTATATTTTAGTATTAGTTTTCTTATTTATCTTAATATGACTTTTTTACTGCTGTAGTTCTTATTTTATTTTTCTTGATCATGTGATTCTTTATCCCACATTTTTTCAATGGTTTCATGACATACATAGTATTCAGTTTCTTTCTCAAATTTCAATTCTTTAATTTTGGTTCATTCTTCCTTATTACATAATATACAAAAGATAAAAGAATGAGTAAATAATTTAAGAAAACACAAAAAGATTATTGTTGTTTTCTTTAAAAACAACAAAAAGATTATTTATTCAATGTTTTTTATACCTCTTATTTTATTGTTTTAGTTTGAAGAGTGTACCTTTTTTTTATTGAAAATGTCAACAAATAATAATATATTTTATTTGAAACAAAATATTAATACCATTTAAAAGTTCCGTTGAGTTGTTATTCTATATATTAAATTGGTAAAAATATTATATTAAATATATTTTATTTGAAACAAAATATTAGTACATTTAAAAGTTCCGTTGAGTCGTTATTCTATATGTTAAATTGTTAGAAATATTATATTAAAATGTTTATAATTACGTGCAATGCACGAGATATTAACTAGTAACGTAAAAAAAACGTAGGAACACTCAGCATTTTTGAAAGAAACAGTAGCAAGTGCATTCCCAAAAAAAATAATAATAAAAAAAAACATTTTAGGTAAAAGCATTTTTCGTAATCTAATCCGAAATTAGAGAGTTTGAATAATTTGTGTGGTTGAATATTGTTGGGTAATGCATAAAAGGGCCGAACAAAAACCTAACAAAGTACAGGTAAAGAGGCAAAGCTATATGGAGTGGAGGTTCACATGCAGCGACAATGGCGAAACCAGCCGCCATTTTTGACGGCAAAATTAGCTGTGCACATTTAATTCTCATACCTTCATAAAACCCTAAACTCTATCTTCCTCTTTATATTTTTCACGTGCCTCAAATTTTGGCTTCCTTTCTCCCAACGTTTAGAATAGGGGGGTTTTTTTTTAATTAGAATTTAAGTGGGTGTGTTTTAATTTACACAAATTGTATAGAAAATAATAATAATAACGTAGTGTGGATGGTGTGGTGTCCAATAGAGATGAAAGAGAATTATTTAGAGAGGCTATTGTGCCTAGAAAACATGTGGAATTTGATTTGTGGAGGAAAAAAGACTGCAAACTGCCCAATGAAAGAATAAAATCTAGAGTAGCCCACACCCCTTGTTCTTGCTCTACGGATTTCACCACAGCGTAGTGGTTGGATTCCAACAACACTACTTCTACTTTTGTTCTCTCTCTCTAACCTCTAATATGTTTTACTGTATATTGTTCCTCAAAAGTTGCACTTCACGTTATATATATATTTTTTATGTATATGGGGACAGAGGGTGCATGTATCTAGTTTTTTTTTTTTTCTTTCTTTCTGGAGTTTGATGTTAATAAGGCACGTACGGACGAGGATTCGAACCTTTTTGACCTTGATAAAATTAGGTTACTAATAGTTTAACTCGTGGTTAGATTATGCTCAAATTTGTTAAGAAGATCCACATCAAAAAGATTGAGGAACTAAATAGGATGAACAAACTCAAACGAGCATACTGTAAAAAAAACAAAAAGATTCAGCCAATATCGAAGAGTCTTAGAGGGCACGGGATGTTAAGTTTCCGGTACATCGAACAGATCAAGAGATTTAACCAAAATTCATAAATACATATAGGCTACTTCTATCTTTTTTTCTCTCTCTAAAGGAAAAACCATTTCATAGGTTAGAGACATAAAAAAATATTTTAAAAAAGTGGGGCCATTTAAAGCGCTTAAGTTTAGTAAAATTTTAGATATATCATAATTACAAAATGGTGGATTTTTTAGTATAAAGTAGATGAGACATTGTAAATATTAAAAACTTTGAGAAATAAAAGAGAGAAAGGTAGGCGGATAAAATTAGGGGTATTTTCCTTACCAAATGTCAAGATTATTCTTAAATAAGGGTTTATTTGAAAGTTTGTTCACTTCTAATGTGCTTTGAAGCAATTTATTGATGACTGTGGAAGGAAAATATTCCTATTAGATTGATTATATCCATAGAAATACCTAAACAATGCAACCTTTTGGTCAAATATATTATCCTTTTCACAATATTGTTTTTTGAATGCTGCAAAAAATAGCAGCAAAGTCACTCTGCTTTGACATTTCATCTGTATTTGGCTTAGATATTATTTCAGATTTGTAATTAATCTCACTTTCAAATGTATATTTGTTGGTTTATGAACTTTAATTTGAGATCCTAGTCATCAAATTATTCTAGATATTTTAACAAAGTTATTACTTGCATCGATATAATGTAAATGTCATATTTTAAATTCTTGATAAAACTCAATGAATCAAAATATAATATTATTGTCCTAAAAATAATTTATTTTTAACTTCACTAAATTATATCCAAGATTTAAGTAAGTAGTAAAATTAGCATCTTTTCCCAACCAAATTAAAAATCGACTGTGAGCCCATAAAATTCAACCTATTAAGCTTCTAAAATCTAAGTCCGATATGAATATCTAAATTCAATCGCAAAAATATCAAACTTTGTACCAAATTTTAAAATCTCAATTAACACTCATCCCAATTATAAAAATAACTCATATATTAATCTCAAATATATGTAGCCTTAATATTCATAGGACCCCTATCGAAATGAGTTAAGTTGACAATAAGATGAGTATTTCGTGTTTTCATATATTTATGAACTTTATAAAATCTCTCATCTTCTCGATATTAGATCCTTAGTGTATAAAACACTCATTAACTTTTATAAAACTTAATGTTGAATCTTCTACTCTACATTTACAAAATTCTAAATGAACAAATCATTGTACTGATTCACGAAGAAGAACCTAGTCATAAACCTTAAGAAGAGGAAAAGCTCAACTATTTAGAAAGCCGTACTTCCAAGTTCAAAAGTTTAGTTGTTTAATAAAACTGAAACATAAATTTTGACGTAGCCAACTAAATAAAAGGGTAAAAAATAAGAACTCTGATCTTCCATTAGCAGAAGCCAATCATTAGAGAAGGTACGGATATAATTAGAAGAGACAGACACAGTATAGATATTGGAGAGAAGTAATAGAAAAGAAAAGCAGCAGCAGATCATCACTGAAAAATCTGCACTTTTTGCTCTGTATTTATGACACAAAATTCAGTACTTAATTAAATAAAATTCATATAATAGAGATGCAGCAGCTATTAGCTACGTTAATAATTAATTAGCACGTAATCATAACACGTGCACAACCACAGAAAAAAATAAAATTAATCTCTCATCTTTCGCATTCTTCTCTTATCTACGGGACAAATTTTTATTTTTCCCAAGAGTGTCGAATTTTTAGTAAGAAAATTATTAGTAGTTAATTAAGTATAATTAAAAGTGAAAATTAGAATGGTTTGGATTTTGTTGGGGGGTGTTTTGTTCCCACCCGGCAAGGCTGGCCAACAGAACTGCGAAAAGGCAATTTCGAGTTCCACACCCCACAATCAATATATAACCAAAGCGAAGCAGCGCCGCTTCAGCCGCACAAACTCCACTCAACAACCAAAACTTTTGCCTTTCTTCTACTTTTATTCATTAATTACTTATAATATATTTATGATATATATGCGAGTTGATCAAATACCCTAATCGGGTCGAATCCAATCCAATCATCATACATGAATTAAATAAAATAACATCAGCTTGGTTTTTTGTGTTTTTTTTTTCAAGTTGATGAATTTTAACACAATCAAGTTTGGAAGAGAAGATGATCAAAGCTAGAGGTAGAGGTAGCATTGAAGTGAAATTGTCATGTCCTCGAGGGAGGGAAAAATTGCGTACCCGTTGTGTAGGCGTTGATCGGGATTGGATATATTGGAGGCTCCATAAATTGGGGTGATTCATTCATTCTTCCCCCACCTCCGTTGGATGCTCCGATTACGAGATCCAGCCCTTGGCCCCCGTCTTCTCCGGCGACGGTGGTTTCAGGGCCTTGGTCGTAGAGAATTCCTTTGAACATATGCCCTCCGATGTTCACAGCTGTCTGATAAGCTAATTGTTCTTCCACATTATCGATTGCGCTTACTTTGACACATCGAAAAATGGCTGGAGAATTGAATTCGGGTGGAAAGTGTGCCACTTCTAACCCTAATCAACAATCAACAAAATATATGACAACAACCAACACATCACAAAATTACAAAACACAAATCAATTAAACAACAAACATCACAAAATTACAAAACGCAAATCAATTGGGGATTAGATTATGTCATTCTTTTTCCACACGCCAGCTGAATTCCAAGGTTAGAATTTCAAATCCCTCCCCCCACCCATCTCATTTGTCAAATCAAAAAAAATATATTAAATAAATATATCCTAACCCATCTAACTTAAACTTCAAAAGTTTTGATTTTTAAGAGTAATTACCAGAAGTGGAGGCATTGGGTGGATGATTTTCACGGTGCCTCTTAGGGGTGGTTGGATCGGGGTGATCTGGTCGTAATTGTTGATGATGTTGCATAATTTGGTGTCGTTGTTGCTGACGCTCGCGACGCTTGGCAGCAGGAACCCAAGTACTTTTGACATGGGTTTGGCACTGAAACCCTCGGCTCTTGCAGCAAGTTCTGCATCTCAAATGGCTACAGTCTTTCTTGGCTTGGTTCCCACAGTCCTGACAATTCATCCCGCCGCCACCACCGCCGCCTCCTCTCATCATCGCAAACCCTGATCTGGACACTAAGTCGTGATTAGAGGCGTTGATCATGAAGTTGGTCCTCCGGCTGGGCCCCACTTCAAAGGATATGAAATTCTCCATGTTTTGTTGATGGTGCTGATTGTGGGGATACTGTGGCCATATCTCCAATCCCTTGGAATAGATCTCTTGGTTTGATCTGTAAGAAAACAGCTGCTGTTCTCTCCCTCTAATTTCTTCCTCTTCATCCTCTTGTTTCCCACCCAAATAGAACAACCCCCTCATTTCTGCCACCTCCTGTGTTTCCTTACAATCCCCAATTCAGCCATATATCTCACAGGGACCAAAAACCCCGCAAACATAAAGGAAAATTCTAGGGTTTTTTGTCAAATTTATTTTAAAAATTTAGGGCAAAATTGAAACAAAAGGACGAAAAATAGAGGGTACCGGTTATTGTTGGATGTGCAATAATGGAGTGGGAATTTGGAAGAAGGCCGCCGTGATAAGTACCCATTTGAACATCACTCTCTCCTCGATCATTTAAGACAAACCTAAATAAATAAATAAAACAAATTCTCTCCAATTTCACTATTTTTTGTCCTATAGAAAAATAAAATGTTTAGAGAGAGAGAAAGAGAGAGGGAGTGAATGAATATGTATCACTACGCAGTACGCACTTCAGTAGTACTGTAGAATTTTTCAGTTCAATGAATCTTATCAACTGGCAAATGACTATAAATCTTCTGCATGGAGATCGGAGGGCTGTGGATTCTCCACGTTTCAACATCAGCTTTAACCCGATCGTCCTTCTTGCGGAAAACCCGCAGATACTTTTCCATCCATCCCATAATTAAACACTGTCTTTTTAACCAACTCCCAAATAGTACCTACTGCTACATAACGCTATTTTTACTTTTGTTTTTTATTCTTTTATCTCTGGGTAAAAATAAAATCTTCTCCACGTCAGCAACGCTCGTCAACGGGATTTTTTTTTTCTTTTCTTTTGTAATTCTGGATCAACTAAGCCTAGTTAACCGTGGAAATGAGGTCGGGTCTGTTGAAGTCCATGTCTTCAACTCTTTAGAAGGAACCCAAAAAAAAAAGAAAAAAGAAAGAAAATTCGTAATTTATTTACTTTTGAATAAGATTTTTGTGGGATGAAAACAATTATATGGGGTGGTGTTTGTTTTTTTGTTGGTTCAGAAAAGATGTTTTTGTTGGGGATTAATTAATGATGAAGCGGCGCTAGTTGTACATGTGACTTTGAAATGAAGTTATTATAAATGGATGGACATTAGTTGGTCAAAATAGGAAGTGTTTGCAAAATTTGCGGGTAATATAATAGAGCTAATAAGCGCGTTCGTTTTTGTTTTTATTTTTATTTTTATTTTTATTTTTTGTGTGTCTTAATTAAAATTTTAAAATTGCTTTTTAATCTTCTTCTAAATTATAATCATTTTTCTCTCCGCTCCGCCGCTGCCTTTCAGTTCTGTCCAATCTTGACCAAAATCTCCCAGCTTTACCGGATAATATATCCCCTTTTCGCAACAAACACTAGATTTCTTTTTTCTTTTTCTTTTCTTTTGTCATAACTCCACTTTTTTTTTTTAAGTATTACTTAGCATTTTCTTCGTTGCATGTGTTTACATATCTAAATATGATTACAAAAAAGTAATTTAATAATATTGATTTTAAAAAAATTATATGGAATAAGTTAATTGGGAAATTTTAATTCACTCAAAGTAAATATTGGAAATTCTAGATGGTATATTTCGCTAAAACTAAAATACCAAATGGAAATATAAATTTTATCTTCAAATTTCATATTTATTTAATCTAAAGAGACTGAAACAATAAATAAAAAATAAAAAGTTACAAATGAATTAAAGAGAGATGAACAAAATTGGGAGAGAAAGTTTCTCCCTTGTAGTATGAATTAATTAATAGCTAACATGATTGTAATTATGGTTGTTTTACTTTAAAAATATTCGTGACAATTTGGTCAAATCGTAGAAGATTAAATTAAAATATTTAAGGACATAAAAGGCGAAGTTAATCTAAGATCAAATTGACCAAAGTAAATAATAAATATTAAATTCGTAAATATTATCGATTTGGACATAGTTCAAACAGAAAAAAATATTTATTATCATCTCAAAATTCAATAGTTTGATTTTTGCCGTACCTAAAAAGAAAGTAAATATTTAACCTAAGATATTTGAGAGTCCAGAGAATTTAGAGTTAGAATTTTGAGAAATAAATGTACCTATTGTCTTATGTCTAGTTTTCAGGGGAAAGTGGAGAAAGAAAAATAAAAATAATAAAAAATAAAAAAAGTGAAAGCTAGAAAAGTGAAGTAAATTAATTAATGAGAATTAATATTGGTATTTAGTGGGAGATACAATAACATAAGATAGATTCTGAAGGCCCAATTATATCACAGAGGAGATTGGCGATTCACGTGATAGTCTTAATTGCCATAAGCCCATAATAACAATGTATTATTATTATTATTATTATTCTCATTTATTAGTTCGAATCGTACGGCATATCTTTTTGGTCTTTCCTTTACTCCATATTATTAATATATATGGTATCTCGTAACTCGTAAGACGTAAGTGTCATTTTTATAATTGTTAAATACTTTTAAAACTTATGTCTATATACATATTTTACAACAAAATTGAATTCATCACATATATATTTTAATTATGGAATCTATTTTGTTTTCATTAAATTACTTTAATTTAAAGTTTTTTCTTTTTTTAATTTGAGTAGCTGCGGCCACAGCCATGTGGCCTTTGTGGTTGGAAAAAGTTACTTTCCGAGGTGTTTGATGCTTTTGCCTGTGTTGAATTTTTGTTTTTTTTTTTACAAGGGAAAATCTTATAATTGATTTTTTTCTCTTTTACATGTTTAATTTTGTGGGGAGGTACAATTAATTTGTTTATTCTTTGGGTAATAAAAGATGAGATATTGAAATAATAAGAAATAACTCACTTATATTATTTTTCTTCAACGTGGTATCATTAATATGCTCCCTCAAAATCGTGATCTTTAAGTTCATAGATCTTGATTAGATTATATTTTTTGAATTGGATGTCGATTTGAATGAATGAACTCTAATGTTATAAAAAATGAAATATTAAAATAATTCTCTAACTTAGATTAATTTCGACATAATGATAAAAGTATTTATATACAAACAACTTAGCTGACTCATATAAAATAATTATTACAACTTCTACTAATGGTTTGAGTGGGAGTATTTTATCAATTAAATTTTGCGAATTTTTAGTTTGTTTAAAAAAAAAATATCAATTCAAATTTGATGAAATTTTTGTATTTATTGTTTGAGACTTCAATTTGATGGGTTTGAAGTTGTTAAAATAGACTATCTAGTTAGTTAAGTATAGAAGTAGTAATAAAAACTGTTATTTGTAAATAGACTTTTAACGTTCAGTATTTAAATTTTAGTCATTGAAATTTTAAAATATAAAGCATCTCTCCTCCAAACCTAAAATGATTATAATTAAATTCTTCGCACCATCTATATTATCATAATTTTATATCATGAACTATTAATTATAATAAGAACAAAATATATGGTATAAAATCAGGAGGTAATTGTGAACTTCGATTCCCCTATATTAAAAAAAAGAAAAATTATAATAAGTACAATAATATGAAATAAAATCAATTAACTAAAATTTTTAATAATTATTAACTAAAATTTGAATGGCTTAGGCGGTGCAATTAAAAATTTAAACAAAAAGAAGATTAGAAATGGGAAAAACTTTTAAGAAAATATAAATTACATTTTAACCTCTTACAGTTACAGAAGTAATAGATAGATTGTAGCAATACAATGTAGGTTTGACGGGAAGCTTATAAATGAAGAACGTGACAGTTTATATAACCTATAGTGTAAGATGGTAATATATTTTCAAAAAAAAAGGAAGGTAATAAATTGATTAAAAAAATTAGAGCTGCGACAATCCCATGTTTAATTAATTATTGGGGGACCGAGACAAGACCGTTACATTATGTCTTTATTTGCCTACCGTATAAGCTGCCTAAGCATTTTGTGGTTCATTTTTTCTTGCGTTATAATTCAAATCTCCTATATGTATCGTTTTTCCAATCATTATTCGCTAAGTTGTTTCTCTTTTTTCTTTTTAGACATTAAATATATATATTTTTTAATTTTGATTTTTTTTCTTGAGAGAAGACTCTTGAACTCTTGATTTGAGATATATGTTAATTACCGCTGAGCTAGGTTCATTTTGGCATGTTTTTTCCAAAATATCTACTATATACCTTTATAATTTTCAATTAGCTTAAGATTAATTAAAATAATACATTGGTAATGTACATTATATCTAAGTCTAATACATTATGAATTATTGATTTAATTTTTTTTTAGCACAATAAATATGGGAGAAAATTTTGAATCTTCAACCTTTGAAAAAGAAACAAGATGATATTGGCGCTTGAATTATATTATATTATTATTTTCATAAAATTTAATTTCGTATCTGCAAATATCCCAAAATTGTATGAAAATGATTTACATCCCTCCCGCGTTTTGGACAAATGAATTCAGTAGCCCATATAGCGGATTGCTGGCTACATGGGCTTTCCCTTGAGTATGAACCCAATGGCCCATGATCTTGGCATCGACCACCAGGCCAACCCAAGTGATGATATACGTTAAAATGCTTCAACTTTGTACGGATTTTTCATAAATAATGTATTTTTATAAAATAAATAAGAGTAGGGTAATTTTAAAACCAATTGTAAAAATAGGGTACAGGTACTACATGAGTTAGCCAAAGCGAGTATAGCTCAGTGTTAATTCACATATACCTCCAATCATGAGGTTACGTTAAACTCTACCAGATAATATTTCAATTCTAATATCTTTTTCATTTTCAACTCTAATTTTGTACGTGATTTACACATTTGTAGTAGACACAGGTAAGTAACTCATGTTTAGGGCGCTCACGAATTTTTACTCCGGCAACAAAAACTTTTTTTTTTCAACAATTTGGAACGATTTTTTTAAATTTATTTGCTTGTAGCAACCTCTCCATTTTTATAAATTTTTAACTACAAAGTGGTAAATAAAATGAAAATTGTATTGGGTAGCTAAACTTTTATATATATTTACAAAAATGTCAACCACTTTTGTATTTTGTAAATATGGCAAAATATTTGAATTTTTATTCTCGAAATTTTTATTATTCCAGTTTTACTCTTATGATATCTGATATACACCCGATGTATATCTGATACACGTCATGGATGTATATCTAATATACGCCTGATGGATGTATATCTGATATACGTCCGATATATTATCTCTGATATACTTCCGATCTACATCTGATGTATGTCCGATGTATCTCTGATATACATCAAATGTACATATTATACATCTAATATACATCTGATGTACCTGCAATTTATGATATACTAAATATATTTGTAATGACATACCTATGTATATGTTAGATGATATATATCTGACGTATCTCTAATATACATTCGATGTATACCAGTGGCATACTAAATATATTTGTAACTGATATCTGATATACATCAGTAGATATCAGTAGATCACAGATGCATCAATGTTAGATACTCGTGATATCATTGTTATATCAATGGTAAATTAGAGACATATTAAGTATATATCATAGATGCATCAAAGTTATATTAGTGGTAAATCATATAATCATATGAAAAGTTATATTAGTAGATATCATAGTTATATCAATGGTAAATTAAAGACATATCAAGTATATATCACACATATATAAGTGTTATATCAGCATGGTAAATCAATGGTAAATTATATAATCATATAAGAACGTATATCGGTAGAAATCATAGTTATATCATACGTATATCAGTGGTAAACCATATTAGAAGTTATATTGGTGGATATCATAGATATATCAGAAGTAAATCAATTGTATATCAGTATTATATTAGTGATATATCAAAGACATATCACTAATATATTACACATATAATAGTGGTAAATCAATAAATAGTAAATAATATAATCATATAAGAAGTTATATTAGTAGATATTATAATTATATCAATGATATATCAGTTGTATATCAGTAGTAAATCAGATATGTATTAAGTATATATCAGAGAGAGAGAGTATATATATATATATATATATATCAGTGTTGTATCAATGATATATCAATGATACGAGGATAAATTTGACATTTTATTATTTAACCTCCGTTTTTTCTAAAAATTTTACTATATTTGCAAATCTAAAATGTAGATATCAAATTTGTTATTTCCCTAAATTTTTTTGCCATATTTGTAACTGTTCCTGATGAAAATGTTTATACCAAATAATTAAGTTCGTGATATGGTTAAAAAACGAGGGTCATTTCAACCACAATAAGATAAATTTGTAGACTAAAATAAAATAAAAATTTTAATCGAAACTTAAAAAGTCCAAACAGTATTTTAACTTTGATTTAAACAAGTTCAATACATTTAATATTGTCCATTATGTTTGTCCTGGTTTTTCTTCATTAAAGAACACTTCAAGCCACTGTCCACAAACTCCAAAAATGAAATTTGGTATATAATTAACAAAGTTTAAAATCTTTTAGTTTATAAAATTTCACCTAAACAATCTGACAAAAAGCCATGACGATATATATCAACAAATTAATAAGAATAATATTTTACCTCTAGATCCTGAAGATTTATGACAAAAAGATTTTTACATATTCATTAGGGGATAAGTATTATTCCATGAATATTAATAAATTGTGGCTTAAGCATGCACGACCGTTGACGTTAATATGAAAAAAGCGGCTTAATTAAATTAATACAATTCACACAAAAACACGAAACGGCCTTTGAGCTGCTTCTGGTCTATAAAACCAAACGATGTCGCTCCGGTTTATGCCTCAGTTTATAGTTTATTTCCCCGATGAGGTCTGCGACTGAAATTACTCTCGAGATCGACTCGTCACCGGCTAACGTTAGAGCCGGTTACCAGGAAGACGGTCCAGTTAGTGCGCCGCCGGCAGCGCCACGGATGCTGATCAGGAGATTCCACGCCGGTTATTTCCGGATCGGAATGTCTCTGGGCGGCCAAGTTTTGTTATGGAAGACGGTGGCCGGGGCCGGAGGAAGGGGGGGCCATGAAACGCCGGTACTTGTTCTGTGGTGTGTGGCGTTCTTGGTTATTCTTGTCCTTTCTTTGGTTTACCTGTTGAGATGTTTGTTGGACTTTAGGATGGTTGAGTACGAATTTTTGCACCACGTTGGGGTTAACTATCTGTTCGCGCCCTCCATTTCGTGGCTTCTTTTGCTTCAATCGGCTCCCTTTTTGGCCCCCTTAGCTCCTCCCTACAAGATTCTGTGGTCGCTTTTTGCCATCCCGGTCCTGCTGCTGGATGTCAAAATCTATGGCCAGTGGTTCACCAAAGGAAGAAGGTTTCTGTTCTGTGTTGCGAATCCGACGAGCCAGCTGTCGGTGATCGGAAACTTGGTGGGGGCTCAGGCGGCGGGCCGCATGGGGTGGAAGGAGAGCGGGATGTGCTTGTTCTCGCTGGGGATGGTTCATTATTTGGTGCTGTTTGTGACGCTTTATCAGCGTTCCTCCGGCGCCGATCGGCTGCCGTCGATGCTCCGGCCGGTGTTCTTTCTGTACATAGCGGCGCCGAGCGTGGCGAGTTTGGCGTGGGAATCCATAACGGGGGCTTTTGATGCCGCTTCCAAGATGCTCTTTTTTCTCTCCCTTTTTTTATTCACGGCGCTGGTACGCTAACACACATCCAATTAATTTTTATTTTTTTTTCATTTATTCACGGCGCTCGAATTGGAATTATTTTATGAAAAATACTTGGTTTAAAGAGTACCTTAAATATTAAACAATAATTAGAGAGAAAGTAAAAAACTTTGACTGTAAACTCCCTCCATAATATTATAAAAATGTTTGACGTGAAAGGTAAAAAATTACAATAATAATGAGTTGTCAAATAGGTATTAAGAAAATATTAACGAAGAAATTTCTCCTTTTGACTTTTAACTTTTAAGGAGCAAGTTTTTCAAAACAGAAATTTAAAATTAAAATAATTTTTTTAAAAATAATGAATTGTATATTTTATGATGTGAAGGGAAAAGTTCCTCTTCTAAGTTAAAAGCCAAAACTTTTCCTTATTTTATTTAATTAATTTTACTTCATCAGGTCCAATTCCCTTCAAAACAAAATAATTATTTACCTCTCATTGCTAAAATTTTGACAACTATGTAACTCTTGGTTATTGATATCTACTCTTTTAAGGTACAAGTGTTCAAATTCTCGTACTCAAAAGAAAAGAAAATGTTTGATAACTATTTATCTAAAAGAGAAAAAAAAGAAAAACATTTTCTCTCTGTTTACCTGCCTCTTTTTTGATTGTAAAAAATATAACTGTTATAACTTAATAAGTTGCCGATTCATAAATTTTTTATGATAAAGTTAAGACTTGATTTTCTAACTCCATTTATTTAAAATATTGGGACTAAAGTCAGAATTCACTCATCATTTCGTGTTCATATTAATTATTAAATAATAAAAAAAACTCAATTAATAACATGTAAAGAAGTCAAATTCGAGTATGGTTCATACGAGGTACTACAACAAAGTAAAACTAATAACTTAAAAAGAAAAATAATAAGATTATTTATTTTAGACCATTTTAAATTTTGAATTCTCTTCGAATCAGTCCTTGATTTTGGAATAGAACTTCTGCCTGTAAACCAATTGTTTAGAGGATTATGCATTTGAAAACGTCAAATGTCACATTTTCACCCACAGTGCTAAACTAAAATATATATAGTTTATTTATAATTTTATGTTAAAGTTATTAGTTTCATCCGTCGTGTCTATTTAATTTTTATATTTAAATAAAATAGATCCATGAACTTTAAGAAAATTTTCTAATTCTCTTTCTAATTTCCTAAGACTTAGACAACCAAAGAAAAAAAAAAATTTTTTTCCTAATTCATGATTTAAATTTGTCACTTCATAAGTACAAGTTTATTATTAGTCAATTTTAAAATTTACAATGAAAATAGTAAAAATGAACATGGTTAAAACGTAATGGACTACATTTAAAATCTTTAAACAATATAGATGAAAAATTGAATAAAAAACACCCAAACATTAAAACCGAAAACAACTTATACTGTTTTTACCTACTATAGTTTTAAAAAACAACATACTATTTTATACTTTTAGAGAAAAATAAAACTATAGTTAAATATGGTTTTGAAAGAGACAGAGATTTCTTTCATTTAAAATTACAAATTAACGTACAATTATCTTTGGATGTATATACTTTTTAATACTAATTTTATTTTATAAACAATTTTTTAATTTAGAAAACTTTTTGAAAAATATCTTATTTTAATGTATTCTTGTATTTTCCTTTGTTTCTTACTTCAACTAGTTTGAAAACACATGCACTTGAATCCAATCAACTTAATAGTACTTAAAATAAATAACTAATGGTTACATATAAAGTTATGAAAGTTGTTGTAAAACGATCCACTTTAACAAGTTTTTAACCTGTACTTGTTCAGAA